GGCCAGCTCGGAACGGAAGGGGGAGCACCAGTTTGGCCGAAGCCGCCGCCTCTCAAGCGGATGGGTTTAGTGAGCCGCGGCCTCCGAACCATTCGGGGTAGTCACGCGGAACCCTAGAGGACTCCGACTCCTATACGGAAGCTACCACCCACAAGCCTATAAATATAGCCCCATACGACGACACAAGGTACGCCATCTACAGTACTCCATACTGTTACTCTACCTACAAGCTCTACTGACTTGATCGTCGGAGCTACTCCGGGGAGCTAGCCCCCTCCGTTTATTTCTCTCTCTGCAGGACAGGTCGTTCGTTCTCCCCCAGTCAATTCGGCCCATCAGCTCGGCCTCTCTCTGTTCGCCCCACTCGTGGCAGTTCAGCTCGGATCGCGTTTTTGGCTGTCGCATCAGTATCCAAACACAGCTACTAGCAAGTAGAAAAATCTTCTTATTTCTGTATTTCTTTCTAAAGCTCAAACAAATTTTTTTTTTCTTTTTCCTTTTTTCCTCGTAAGTTGATTTTTGTTTTTGTTTTTAAATTTTCTACTGCCAAATTACGTGTAATAAACTTTAGCTTGCGTGAAAGAAGAAGAGAATAATGGTACGCTAATAGGCAGGGGTAGGGTGGTGTGCGTGGGCCTCCCGATCACTGTGTGGTTGGTTAAGTATCATACGACTACTCAAAAGGGTAAACAAATAGTGTACCGTTGAAATTCAATGATGAGGCCGAAATCAAGTGCCACGTGTAGGCTCTTATAATCATTCCTGCCAACCTTGATAGGCTGGCAAATTCGCAAAGCAGCCATCCAATTTCTCACCGACAACGGTGGAGCCGTGATGAACATAAACAAATTAGATGAGCCTAGCAGGCTGCTGCGGCTGCAAGAATGGTTGTAAATTAGTGGTAAATTTTCATGGATTAATCTTTTATATAATAACAATACATACACTATCATGTTCGAAGAGATATTATACATCCTGAATTTAAATTTTATATCTAAGTTTTATGAGTAAATCTTATATACACTGACAGTGTTGTTAGATTCATGACATGTGTGTAAAAATTAAATTTTAAATTCAAATTTTACATAGTTGTCATTTATCTAACGCTGACAGTGTATGCATAACAGCATTTAATCAATCATGACAATGTATACAAAATTTACTCGTTTTTTATTTGGGCAGAAGTAAAGTTTTGATGATCCCGTGTTTTTAGATTTCTTGTGACTGAATTTACCATGATTTAATTTCCTTTCAATGATTTCGAACTTGCCACACTTTAAACCCTCCACTTTACACGGTCCTTTAATTAGGTTGATGTAATTTGCACGTCTACTCTGCTCTAATATCCAATTAAATGTTATACGCAACTTTCAAAAGCACAAGTTAATAAATGTGATGAATGACAATTCTTGACAAATTAGGTAACAGTATATGTCTTCTAAAACATGAGGAAGGGTCATTACCAATTTCAAAGAGTAATTATTTGTTAACCCCAATTTCTGACTGAACCAAAAGAGAAAAAAAAAAAATCTTAATGGATTTTACTTGTTGTTTACTCACTCAATCTACTTTGAGCTACCAAACTTGAACGTTTAGCCAAGGCTCAGATACGAATGATTGACTGTCCCCACGAAAAGGTTAGGTTAACAAACGTCTAGTGAAAATGATGCTCGAGTAAATCCTCCACCGCTCCCCTTCTTAATCATTAATCAAGCTTGCAGAGAATGTTGTAGCTAGCTTGATACCGCGTTTATAAAATCCGTGGTACTTTTGAACTTGTAAAACATCTACGAGTCTTGTTGCAAAGTCTGCCCCGGGAACCATGCATGATTTGTTTTGTTATATGTTATACCCTGAGATAGATTAGAGCAACTCAAGACGAAGATTTTAAACGTTCCATACTTAAAATTACCAACATAATTGCTTTATTGATTCAATATATATATTATTGTTTGCCAAGGAATTTATCTTCATCAAAGGTAGGGTACGTGTGACTCAAATTATGCCATTGCCTCCTCCTCATAGATACATTAATTGATTCTTGATCAAGGTTACTGCATAATATGTATCTGTAAAACGATAACAGAGCCCTTAAGGGCATAACTTTGAGATCAATATTCAACGGATTTAAGACAATTGCGTGCGACCATTAATAACGTACACTAAGATATCAAATTTTACTTTAGCACCAGCATTAATTAACGAATTAATGTTAATGTGTATGGTCCATTATTGTCCACACTAAAGTCTAAATTACCATACATTCCTTCCACACAAAAAAAAAAAAAAGGGGCTAAACCATACAAGCTACTTTTTCCCGAAAAAGAAAATCCACATGTGACTTTAATCAATCAGTTTTCTTGCTCTTTAACTTGTGCCCTTTTTCTTTTTTTTTTTCCTTCTCATCAAGGTCATCAGTCATGACAGTGCCTTTATAAATGGGTCATGGGTGGCCTTATTTCGTGGTTTGCTTAATCATGGAAGACGAATGAACGTCATGGAAAGTATCCAAAGTTACTTATGTTCTTTTTCTCTCCTTTTTTTTTTTCCTGTAATTAATATTGTTGGTGTACATTTACGAACTCAACTTAAGAGTTTATTCTAGTTTCATGCCAAATTTCTTGACAGAAGCTAATTTCACTTTTTTTCCCTTAACTTTTGCGAGTTGAACAAATTAATGCATTTCATAGTAACAAAATGAGGAACAACACATGTTTCCCATTCTAAAATGAACACATCCAAATTAAGGTTCCACAACTTTTTAAGAATATTAATCAAAATTTAAGTTAGCATTCTTGAATTTCATTGTTGTTATAAAATCATGAGTGCATTAGTGTTACAGAAAGTCAACAGCCAAAAGGCAAATGGTCTTAAAGGAAAGAGAAGAAGGTCATATCAGCTTTAGAGAAACACAATAATTCTTTTAACCAAAAGAAAATTTCTATTAATTCTTTTAACCAAGTAAACAAAGAAAAGGAGTTAACTTCGAAATCAGGGTGAAATTTTTCTTCAGGAAATAAGTCACTGCTCCTTCTTGTTACCAAAGCATTAGGACTTTCACACAAAGGAATTAACTCATATGCTATATTCTTTCAAACGAACAGAAAAGATAAAGAACTTCACGTAGTGCTTTCCTCTTCGTCTACTTGTTTGTTCCCACAAAAATGATTTAAACAAAGAGAAGTTCAGGAGGCATAAAGGGCCGGCAAGCTTTTTATGACTTGCATGCCTTTTCATTAAAGCAAGAACAATTCGTAAGATCCATACTCAGATGCTTTTACTTCTCGTGCATATCCGCATGATATATATGATAGAAGGAAGGTAGAAAAACCGTCCACAAGAATCACGAGAACTTCTTAAATGGATCTCGACCGTAGAGGCAGTCGATTGCTCATAAACTTAATGGTTGAAGAAAAGCTTAAACAAACGAATTATATAAATTTGTTTGGATCTCGGAGTCATTTTCTGTCAGACAACTGATATTTGAAGCTTATCACAACGCCCGGTTCTTTTTCATTTCATTTACCTTTTTATCATCGGATAAGCTTCGATACAAATACGGCAGTGTTTTGTTAGGCGCCAGGTGTTATCTTACTGAATCGGGGCATGTCTTGTCCTTGAACTGCACTTCATGTTCTAATGATTGACCCAATTTAATATTTATTCCGGTTTACACGTACGACACGAGCGTGTTTGGATCGGAAGATTATTTGTGATAACAATTTCCTGTCTTTTTTTTTATAAAATATTTTTAACCTGATAAAAAGGATGATCAGAAATATGACAAGGTAATAAAAAAAATCGCGTTTACTGCAAAAAAGAAAATAATATTTGAGAAAAATGTATCTTTTCCGGCGACATTTTGCGTTTGCAGAAAGGGTGAAATGAAAGTGCATCATTTTCGATAATTTTGGTCAACCTGAAAATTTTCCAAACATTAAAGTTTCCCATCCTCCGGGGACACCTGTATTTCCGAATTGGCTGTTTTTTGACACCGGTGCGGCTATAGCGTCAGAAGCTTGGTTGCATAGTTCTTCTGGTTTTAACGAGATTGTTAAAAAATAAAAAAAAAGGAACGAAGACTTGTATCATGGGGTCTACTTAATTTCGCTTTCCGGTCATTTAGAAAAGTGTAGACTTAATAACTGTTATCATACTATTAATCTTATTGATTATGTCTGTCATTGACACGACCCTTTCTCCAATTAAAGCAAACTGCAAACAATTATTTAACACAAAAGAAATGGAAAAGCCATCAACGTCGTTTTGGGCTGCCCCATGATGTTTACTCCTTTTTAAATAATTCAGGTGGAGGATTTGGTGTTCAGCTAGCTATTGGTTTTGTTGAGGAACGTCTGTGTTTTAATTATTTAATCCTCAACCCTAGGATGTGGCTCATGAATGGGGTTCTCCTATTCTAGGTCGGATTAGGAAGATTGATACTTTTACAAGAAGTTCCTTTTAGTTTATGAACCTTTCTTGAATAAAATATTGAAAAGAAGAGAACTCCTCTTGCGCTCCACTATGTTTGGGGGAGAGAAGAAAGAAGAAAGTCTTATAGGTCGGGAGTCTGAATAAGCTGTCCAAGGGAGAATGGACCATAGATTAGGAGCTTTCCAAGGCACATAAGAACGGGGCGCTGTAATCAGTCTAACTGCGGAAGTGCAAAATGATAGTTGATTTGCTTGAATCATCAACGTATTTTTTAATCACCCTTTTATCTCACATACATCATATCAAAAAAGTGTTACAATACTTTTTCCACAAAATTATCTCAAATAATTTACAATCCAAACACACTCAGTATTTTGAAATGGTGTGAAAAGAGAGGAGCAATTGCGAAATTCTCAAACTGATTATTGCATCCATCCCAAGTCTTGGTGAGGAAAAAATATCAAGACATGCGTTCTGCAATGAATGCAAGCTTTATTAACGCATGCCCACAAGGAGCCATTTTTTTCCCACCACCACAGAAGTTTCCCCATTGACTCTAGACTGAGGGATCGAAATATTAATAGATTAGATATTTGAGTCCTGAATTATTGGTGGTCCGAAGAAAGACAAACACTTAAGGACGTGATTTTCATGTCCTTGTCTATGTCCTCCTGAATTTGCCTGTAAACTTTCAGTTAATGCACCTTCTAATCATTGAGCAACTTGACATTGGGGTACAAGTTTCTTAAAAGACTCTCAACTAATTTTACTGTTCTATAAACAAAAACCTTGTTCTTACGCTAATAATTCAAATGCATCTACTTCTCTCCGAGACCACCGCGTGGCACAGGCTTGCTGTCTTGTCTTTGCGGACCTCAGTAAGCCATAAATTGACTGCAATGTAGCCGCTGGATTGAAGCAGAAAGCAAGTTTATCACAACAGCTTAAAGCATACCCGAGTCAAATCTTTCGTTGCCCTTGATCTCTATTCTTCTTGCTTTCCCCACCTATTCATATATCATCCCATTTTTATCAGGTTGTTTTGCTATTGCAAGAACAAATTGCGAATAATTAATGCAATATTACATGATACAAGACAATATTCATGTCACCGGTAACCTGATCTAGTACAGAAATTTAAAAGACCAGTTAATCTTGTGACAAACTCTGATAAAAAACAACTTGAAAAAACTAATTGGGGTAACGACATAGACAATTCAAGAAGCAGTGGAGGAAGTTCTCACAGACTTTCCAAACAGAATATTAAGAAAGGCTAACATATAGCAAATGCCACATATTGCACAGTCCCTATTATCCGGCTGCATCCTCATTTATTGTCCGACCTTCTCATCTTAGTAGGCCAATCCACTAAGCTAGCTCAGTGGAGTTTACCTTCAAGTTAATTCTTTAACAAACTCAAGGGATAAGAGGTCTATATTGAATTTTGAGAGGTTAGTTGCATTTAGCCTCCAGTTTCAATGATTGATCCAAACAACTGCTTAAAAAGAACGCTAGAAAAGGGACAGACTAGTGGGTCGGCTTGCATTAATCATCTTCTCAGTTTACAAATTCCTCAAGACGGGCATTTTCATCATTATATGGAAAACGATGTATTATATATCCAACCTTCAAATTGGGGGGAAAAGTCGCTGTACATTAATAAGCCCAAAGAATGCAGCTACACTCGTTTTATGCACTTTAGTCAAGTTCCACGCAGGTAAAGAGCATTATTTTGATCCAACAACCAAACTGTTAATGTGCTGTTTTGATACCAAGGAACTTTTTTGGAAGATCCCATTGAATATTATGACTTCACTAGGTTCCTCTCTATTTTTCTTGGACCGGTGAAATAGTAGAGCATGCCTGTACGCCAATACCAACCAAAGGACTGTTCACTTTAAAGCAAATTTCTGCATAACATACCTGGCTTCCTAGTTCATGCCTAGTGCTCATGAAATTGCCATGCTTGACAACCATCAAATCCGGAGCTTCACAACCAGCACTCTGAAATATGGTTTCATGATTCTAGTCCTTCATGTTGGTCTTGACAAAGTTCTCTTTGGTTCTTCCGTGCTATAAAGCACTTCATCCAACATGACTTCACCATTCTTCAGTGCCTTGTAGATCTTTTACAAGAAAACTCTTTTCACGTGTCTCCCACTGATTGTGACCTGTTCACCAGTCAAACAATTCTCTGAAGTAGATTGGTTTCTAAGGCACCCAATACTTTTGAAACAAGAATTGCAGTGAAGGATGCATTAACAGCAGAACTTCTGGTATCAAAGTCACATCAAAATGCAAAATGAGAAAGGTTTAGGGGTCCAAGGGACCACAAAATGAAGGTAAAAGGTAACACACGATCAAAATCAATGAGGCAGAGGAACCAAAGCATCTATAAATCTCGTTTCTCTTGCTTACAGCAAATCCAATATTCAAAGGTTTTTTTAGCATCTAGTCTCATCATTCACAGAAATTTGCAGGAGTTTTTTGTGATTTATTTTCATTTACATCAACCCATCATATCCAAAAGCACAGCACATCAATAAATACACTTTTGCAACCAAGTCTAAACAGAAAAATTCCAGAATTGGGAAGGGGTTTTGGGTAATAACAACAAATGAAGTACTTTAATTACTAAAGGACAGTTGAATAGCAACAACTAAACCATATTACAAGAGTCAAAACTTGAAGCAATTAAAAAACAATATACAAACTTGGAATCAGACAACTCTTTTCATCTAAGTTGTTTTCTGTTAAGGAATACTAGGAATTTAAGAACATTGGAAGGGGTGAAATTAATCAGAACCAAAATGATACATGAGGAATTCCAGATATCAGTGAAATGGCAACTGAGCTATTCAATTATTATCAAAATCTAATATTATCAAATGGCTATCTCCAGAAGACAGAATCTATTTGACCTGCTACTTGCCAAATGCAGTGATTATGACTGCTTATTTGCCTCTTGCTCTGAACTAAAAGATTCATGCCATAGCAAATGGAACCCAACATTATTTTAAGCTGATCATCAAGAATCATATTCCATGTCCAGAAAATATAGCTGCTGTGATACTTCAAGTGCAGCATATAGACAAGCCAAAGTTGAATTTTAACTTCACAAAAAACCAGCCAAGGTCAGCTGGATCATGTCTTCACTATTTCACTTTACATCTGCAGAAATACATGCCATGAAAAAAAAAAATGCGATAGACTAGGACCTTACAGTCATATTCATTGACATAGAAGGGCAGTTTTCTAGTTAATAAGCTTTAACAATTCGGTCAAGACAAAGAAGCCTTTTAGCTTCTTAACCATAATAGGAAGTAATGCAAGACGCCAAGGAAATAACGGTGCATAGACTCATTTCCCAGAAAAATGTTAAACAAGCTGGAAAAATAGAAAAGTGGAAATCTCCCCAGATGTGCCCCAAATAAATTTGAACATCATTGGCCCTAAAGGGAAGAAACCTCGCAAACCAAGTGATGGGAATAAATGCCGAATAGAGGCAGATAGGAAAAACATGAGCAAAGAAGTAAAGATACTAAATCTGACATAATTAATGGACCTCCAACAACTTGAATTGTAATTTACAAACATCTCATGATAAACAGAATTCAGACTTTCAACTGTGTTCATATACCAAGTTGACATCTTGTAATATTTACATGAGTTACATTGTCCAGTCATTTATGGATGGTACTAATTAAGAACACTAACTTGACATAGCCATAGTTAACATGTGTTTCACAAACATACTTTTGTACACCTAAGAAATCACTCGTCTTCATTCTTACATGAGTTTCTCTATTCTTTGTTCTCAAGTATAAAATGCTTAGATATGCCAAAACATGGGTGCCAAGTAAATAATAGCCCATCTAATTGCCAGTATAACCAATCAATAATGAGCTATACATCTCCAGGCTCATATCCTTGGAGTTGATATGCTTTCAACATCAGAGTTGAAACAAGCTCTAACAGTTCCCTTGACAAGGATTAATGTAAAAAGGGGCAACCACAGCAAGACCAAGAAACAGAAAAACGTCAGCAGACTTGTGAATGTTGCAGGGTGGTCAGTGCGTAACTGTGACAAAACCAAAATAATAAATACTCGGTAAATTAAGCACTCGCTCACAACCAAACAATCAGAAATAAAACCTGAAATGATAAGAGATGATCTCTATATCATATCACTCCAAATTTCATCCATGATCTACTTTGAAATCATTTTTGGAATTTACTTATCCCTGACCTGGGCTATACTTATTTCCAATGCCTATACAACATGGTATATCATTCTCTACCAGGTGGAGAAAATTCCCTGTTCAAAGATATTATAAATACGAAATATTTTTAAGTCAATCAATGTACATTCACAGTGTTAACATCTTGACAACTTGAACTGCTTCAATCTGCATCCAATGTTATCAATCATGCGTATTAATGATGCTCATTTGAAACAACTGGAATAGAAGAGAAGCAAAGGCAGAAAATAAATCATGTGATCCAACACTGTTTACCCACGCATGGTCTAGGAGGAACAAAATGCTAGTAAGTCAGACCTAGAACTGAACATGTTAGCATTGTTTTCCAGCTGCAAGACCAGAAATAACCTTTCTGCATGCTGTCCATCTAAGATCTCCCAGAAACTTCATGGCATCAAGAAACCAGCTGTATGAGGATGAATGCTGGCAATTCATATTTATGTCCCGTATACAAGGAGCTTCAACTTTATTTTGTCTTGCTCTCCTTTGTCCTTATCCAAAATCTAACATCTCCTAGAAAAAACTCACGGGACAAATAGCAAGTAAACAGAAGCATGGCGAGAAGAGTTCAGATTTGTGAGTGTCAGTTAATCACAAATAGTCCAATTAAAACTGCATCTGATAAAAGGATAAATTAAAAGAAAACCAATGCATGCTAATCTAGTGGATTTCAACCAGTGCTAGTGGATAAGCTATAAGCTGGAATCTTAGCCAGTTTTCTCTCCTTCATAATCCCTCTTATTCTTTCTACCTCTTCCCACAGATCATTACTAGCATAGATATTGGATAAAACCACGTATACCCCATCATTCCAAGGTTCCAACTCAAGCAAGTGCTTAGCTACCCACTATCCCATCTCAACAGCTCCATATTTCTCAGAGGCACCCATCAAACAACCCCAAATGACCACATTAGGTTTCATTTGCATCTCTTCCACCATGACCCTAGCTTCATCAAGTAAACCTCCCCGGCCTAGCAAATCCACCATGCATCCATAATGTTGCAACATGGGAGCAATCCCATACTCATTCTTCATCATCTTGAAATAATGTTTTCCCTCCTGCACCCTCCCACCGTGAACACATGCACTCAACACTCCAACAAATGTTACATGGTTAGGCTTCACTCCAGCATTTCTCATATCATGGAAGCACTCTAGTGCATCCCTGACGTGCCCATGCATTGCATAGCCGACAATCATAGATGTCCAGGATGACACATTTCTTTCTTCCATCTTCATAAACACCTTGTTAGCCAAATCCATTCTACCACACTTTCCATACATATCAATAAGTGAATTCATCATCAACAAATCCAACTTTTCCAAACTTTTTGCTTGAAACACACATTTATGCAACTGAAGTGCTAAATTCACATCCCCTAAACCTCCACAAGCAGAAGTTACACTAACCATCGTAACATCATCAGGCTGAAACCCACATTCTTTCAATTGCATAAACATCCTTATCGCTTCCTTCCCACGCCCACTTTGTGACAAGCCAGCAATCAAAGCATTCCAGGAACCCAACTTCCTGTCGGTATTTTCATCAAACAATTTATGGGCGTTTCGAAACTCACCCGCCTTACAATACAAACTTATCAACCCACTCTCACAATACATATTTTTCTCTAGCCCCAACTTAATTGCCATCCCGTGAACCTGTCTTAACATCGATGAATCAAAATATTGGGACACGGATTTTAGTACAATTGGTAGTGTAAATGTGTCTACTGTAATACCAGCTCGGGACATTTCAACAAACAAATGGTGAGCCTTTACGGGTGAATTTAGATTGGCATACGATCTCATTAGATTGTTATAATGAAATGAAACTGGGTACAATGCTAAAAAGTGGGTGCGCGTGATGTGAGCGTGGATTTGGTTAAGCTGTTTCAAATTAGTGCACTTTGAGATTTGGGTTGCTATGGTTTTTGCATAATCTTCAGTGGGCTGGTTTGGCGGTCATGGGATGGGGTTGAAGTTAGCATTGCTAACTGCGGCTTGAGCAGAAATTGTACGGCTAATTATTACTAGGTACTTGGGGATTAGAGTGCCAACCAACGTGCGGGGGACGTAAGGGATGAATGTCATGTGGCCGCAGTCCCGCCGTGGTAGTGGTAGTGGTAGTGGTGGTGGTGGTGGTTCATGCCGCAGATTGATCAAGAAAAGGCACTGTTGTTTCGGTTTTTATAGCTTACCGAGGAATTTTGGTTTTTTGATTTTTTCACCTGTACTAGCAAATAGTGGCCTATTTTGGCATTTTTAAATTTTCATATTTCGATGGGAGAAAATGAAAAGGAATAATCAGAATTTTGTTTATTGGACTTTATTTATTGGTTAGAATTTGATGATTTGGAAGTAGAGCTCTAAACGAGACGAGTTAAGTCGATATTATGGAATTCAAACTCGACTCATTAAGTTATTGTAGTGGTTTCAACTCATTTATATAATGAGTCAAAATTTGTGCTCGACTTTGGCTAATCAGCTCATTAAAATTATCCTCAATTCAATTCCAAACTCGAACTCGACTTATATGACATAAATGAGCCAACCTTGAACTAAAAAAAACTTAAATGTGTTTAAATATCTTATACAATTTTACAATTCAAAAAATACAACCAATTTAATTTGCCTATTAAATGAGAAATATTTCAAAGAATATAAGAAGATTCTCAAAAATATTTAAATAAAACAAAATTCTAAACAATCAAGACAAGGTAAATTTGCATAATTATTAAGAAAAATTAGTTACATGAGCTCAAATAAATGTACAAAACAAACTTAGACGAACTTAAATGAACTATTCTAACTCGACTCGTTTAGAAGTCTAATTTAATGTTTAAACTCAATTCATTTAATTAAATGAACAAGCTAAATTCGAATTTATACGATCCGAGCTGAGCTAAGCTCACCAACCACCCATTCATTTCACAGTTATATTTCGGTGTGGAGTTCACTTATTTGTACATAAGTGAGGTTTTCAAAGCAATTGTACAAGCATGTAACTCTGATCTCCATTAGTTTCAAATGCTTGATTGCTACTATACGAATGTACCAACTACTACCAACATAACATCCTGTGGTACTGTGGTGTACTATTTTTGTATCTGCCAATGACTAATTATAACACCAACCAACATGTTATTAAATCACCGACCTTTGGATTAGTGGCCACCATTAAGTCGACTTGGTGACCTTGTCTTCCACCAATTGTTAAATTAAGTGGCATCTTAAAAAATTTAGATGGGTGTGTAGCACACCTGTCTGGTTTGATGGTGGTTCAATCTCCATCGACCCTCTAGATCCTGTTGGATCTCCTCCTTAAATTAGAATAGTTTAGGATACTATAAAAAAAGTGATGATTGACAAAAAAATATATATATATATATTATTAAGTGTACTCTTCGGTTTTCGAACAAGTTTTTGGTTCTTTGGCACGGTGATGTTTCATAAAAATGTAGTTCAGTTCACAACTTAGTAGCATGATTAACACATTCGATGCTAGTTTGGCAGCCACAATTGAATAAAACGGGGCAATGCATGTATCCTCAGAACCCATCAGAGAGTCTTAAAGCATTTATTGAGTGTAGGATAAAGGATCAAATCCGTTGTCTTACATTTTAATCCAGAATTTCTTGAAAATTTATCGAAAAAAAAAAATGTATCCTCACAAATACCAAAGTAGAAAAAAAGAAAGAAATAATTTGATGGTGCCAGTAGGAAAACAAGTCCAATAAAATTCTGAACTGGGTGGAAAACTTTTACAAAAATCAAGGCAAATTGGGCATCAAGTTGTAAATTATCTCTTTCTCCGCTCTCCACCAAAATAAAAGTATAAATTGAATTCAAAGTTATGCAGAAACCAGAAGTCGTGCTCGAAAATCAGCGCGATTTCTTCCGCTAACCAGCATGAGCTCTTTTATCCGTAAAGAACAGATTATTTTTCCTGTTGGCGACCTGGCCAGCTCCTAAATCCTGCTAAAGCCATCCCTCCTGAAAGGCAGAAACTTCTATACATTTTTTCATTGATGTTCTATTATTCTCGGCGCCATCCCCCTTGCTTTCTCCGGCGTCGTATTTAATCTTTGAATCTTAATCCAATGGACTCTCCGATGGCCGACGGGGGTGAGAACCCGACAGTACTCGATCTCACCAGCTACCAGCTCCGTGATCTCGACTCAGTCGACCTCCCTCCGAGTCTCACCGAGTTAGACTTAACCGCCAACCGTTTGTCCAAGCTGGACCCCCGTATTGCCCAACTCTCCAACCTCAAGAAGCTCTCTCTTCGCCAGAACCTTTTTGACGACTCCGGCGTCGAGCCCCTTGCCACCTCGCACCTCATTGCTGACCTCGAAGTATTGTTCTTTTTCATCAGCCTGATTAATTTAGCCGAGCTATTAATCTTTTTTGTCTGAATTAAATGGATGGTTGGGCTGAATTAGCCTAACGATTCGCGGGTTTTTGGTTCTCTATTAATCTTCACCTGTTTATTTTAATTTCCCGTTCATAAGAAAAGGTGAAGTTGAAATGCAAAGGGATACTTTGAATGAGTTTTAGGATCCCAGTGGGACGCTCCAAAAACTTATTTTGATGGTTAAAGTTTAGGTAGAAAAATGGTGTGAAACTGGTTTTGCCATCAAGAATATACAAGAATTTATGCTTAGCAAATATAGCTTTGCTATGGCTGATTAAGTTAGAACGGCTTTAATTAAAATATTTAGATTGAATGTATATTACTTGGCATTTAGTTTCGTTCTCATTCGTTATGTATTCCATTACACGATATTAACTATTTTGTGGGCTGTGGTTTGAATTTCCTTTTCATTCTTAACTCCAATACGAGGGTTTACTTTTATCTTCCTTGGTGGTTGTTTCTGTTGTTGTTCATATTAAAGCTTTCGTGTTTATGGTGTCATCTTGCTAGAACTTTTGGGCAGCTGAATAAATCCAGGGAAGGGTTTAGCATATAATTTCAGCACTTGGATGCTTTAGTCTTGGGTTTTGTCTTATGTATTCTCCATCATGGAAATTCTATTTGCTTTTATCATTTTTACGATGATCATAGCACGCAAAGGAGGATGTATCATCATTAAGTCATTTTTATCTCACTTCTACTAAAATTGCTTTGGTGATGCAGTAAGCACTCTCATAACTAATTTGAAACAATTCAAGATCTGTCCATTGCTGTACATAAAGTCACATATATGCATCTGCTTGCTTATTCTTCTTTATCAGAATCCAAGTTTAATATGTTTGATTTGAATAATTCCTTCACAATCTTAAGGTAATATATGGGATTGGATAGCTCTCTCCCTTCCATTTTATGGCCAAAATGAACGTGACTGATTTTAAAGCTTGAAATGCTATCTACTATATCTTTAAGTGTGTTTCTCAGAGACCATGTACTACATGCCTATCCTGCTCTAGATTTTGTGTCTGTCTCTCTCTCTCTCTCTCTGGGGGTTGGTTTGGTTTGTTAAAGACATGTCTAACTAAGGCATTTAATTTGTTTTATAGGAGCTTGTTCTAAGAGACAACCAATTGAAGAAAGTTCCTGATGTCAGCATTTTCAAGAAGCTTTTAGTATTTGATGTTTCTTTCAACGAGATTCCAACACTTCAGGGGTTATCCAAGGTTTCCACCACACTTAGAGAACTCTATGTGTCCAAAAATGAAGTTACGAAGATGGAAGAGATTGACCATTTTCACGCGCTGCAAATTCTTGAACTTGGATCCAACAACTTGAGGGTTAGATATTCCTTTCTTGATGGAACACTAAAAGCAACATAACAGCTTTTGTAAAGAGAGGACAGAAAATTATGCAACTAATTGTTTGAGATAATTTTCGGTTAAAAACTCAAATAATCTAAAAAATCAATCACGAACATGTTTAACTATTTGAATTCTTTGGCTACACAGAAATGTTATCTTACACCAAGTGGTTTGTTTTGGTTTGTCTATGTATATAAAGTGCCTTCTTTGGTTTTCAGGTGATGGAGAATCTGCAAAACCTAATCAACTTGCAAGAGTTATGGCTTGGTCGTAATCGCATTAAAACTGTTAACTTATGCGGGTTAAAATGCATTAAGAAGATTAGCCTGCAAAGCAACCGTTTAACTTCAATGACAGGATTTGAGGTACTTGTATTTGTTCATTCTGAAGTTTGAAGGTCAATTTTTTTTAGTTTATATGGAAATAAACTGATTCACGAGCAATAAAACCAATTGCTAACTGTTTTCTTTTCCTTGATTTGAAGGAATGTGTTGCTTTGGAGGAATTGTACTTGAGCCACAATGGTATTTCAAAAATGGAAGGCCTATCAACATTAGCAAATCTTCGGGTCTTGGATGTCTCATCAAATAAGCTTACAGAAATTAGTGACATCGAGAAACTGACACGGTATGAATGTCTGCAACCATGTTAGCAACTCATCTCATATCTCATTTCGGCTGTTATAATCTTCAATTTGGTTCTTTAATTGCAGATTAGAAGATTTATGGCTTAATGACAACAACATAACTTCATTAGATGGTATAGCGGAGGCAGTTGCAGGTTCCAGAGACACGCTGACCACCATCTACCTTGAGCGCAATCCATGTGTAAGTATATGCCCTGTCTGTAAATTAGTTAGTGACATCTACACTGTCAGATGCATAATTCTGTTTAAGTAGCCATTTTTTGAGTGATTAATCTGACATTTTCTTTCCACATATTAAGCCAGATATGCCTACCCTTTCCATTTGACCATGAATGAGTAGGAATTTTTTTATATTTTTTTTTAATGTTAAGGTTCTTGAGAATGTGGTAGCTGCCTAGGATTTTTGTAGGTTTCTTCACAATTCTTTTGAGTATCTGTTGTAGTCAGCTAAAAAAATGTGATGTTGAGGCAGGCACTATCTAGTGAAAAGTAACAGGGAATTTGTTTTTGTCCACCCATGTTTATTCTGGTGTTAATTTGTGTGATCTTCATTATATATTGGAGTAATTTCTGTTCATTGCATCTGCCTTCTTAAGAATATCATTATGTTCATTGTTAGTCATCTGTGAATTTTGCTGATCAATAATCAGTTCATGATCCTCAAATTATCTTGGTATCTCTGCAGTATATGCAGCTTTTGAGAAATTTGTGGTTACAAGTAACTTGTGACATGAATTTTCAACCATCTAGCTTTCATTGTTGAAGTTTTTTTTTTTTTACTTTATTTTTTTTGGGGGG